GCCAGACGAAATCCCGATGGAATTCTGGAAAATCGTGGGTAGGGCGGGCTTGGAATGGCTAACTGGGCTATTCAATGTCATTTTTAGGATGATGAAGATACCTGAGGAATGGAGATGGAGTACGATGATCCCGTTGTATAAGAACAAGGGGGATATCCAAAATTGCAATAACTATCGGGGTATCAAGCTACTGAGCCATACTATGAAAGTATGGAAGAGGGTGGTGGAGCTGAGGAGGATTGTGTCTTTTTCAGAGAACCAATTCGGATTTATGCTGGGGCGTTCGACTACAGAAGCTATTTATCTTGTTAGGAGGTTGATGGAGCAATATAGAGAGAGAAAGAGGGATTTACATATGGTGTTCATAGACTTAGAGAAGACGTGAGGCTTGAGTCACAAGTCATTCTTAAGAGATAAAGTTTCAAGTACCTTGGGTCTGTTATACAAGGGAATGGAGAGATTGATGAGGATGTCAGACACCGTATTGGGGCGGGGTGTATGAAATGGAGACTTGCTTCCGGGGTTTTGTATGATAAGAATGTGCCACCAAAACTTAAAGGTAAGTTCTATAGAGCTGTGGTCAGACCGATTATGCTGTATGGGGCAGAGTGTTGACCGATCAAGACATGCCATGTCCAGAAGATGAAGGTGATGGAGATGAGGATGTTGAGGTGGATGTGCGAGCATACCATGGTTAGACAGAATTAGAAATGAATTTATTAGGGACGAGGTGGGTGTGGCCCCTGTGGAGGACAAGATGCGGGAGGCGAAACTTAGATGGTTCGGGCATGTGAAGAGAAGAGGCACTGATGCTCCGATGAGGAGGTGTGAGAGGCTGGCATGGGAGGGCCAACGGAGAGGTAGAGGCAGGCCGATGAAGTATTGGGGAGAGGTGATTAGACAAGATATGGTGTTGCTCCTGCTCACTGAGGACATGACCAAGGATAGGAAGGTGTGGAGGTTGAAAATTAAGATAAAGGGTTAGGTGGTCGAGTGTTGTCCTTGTTTGTAGCAGTAGCTTTGATACACCACTTGGTGCCTTCCGTTTTGTTTTTTTTGTTTTTTTTATACCCTTAGTCTCCTGTTACTACTTGTTGGTGTCTTGTGTTTCAGTTTTTTTATTGCATTACCTTTTGCTAGGTTTGTATTTTTTGCTTTGGTTGTCAGGTCGGTTTGCTTGTTATTGTCCCTCCCTTCTCCCCTTCCTAAGCCGAGGGCCTTCCGAAAAAAGTCTCTCTGCCTTTTAAAGGCAGGGATAAGGTCTGTGTACACTCTACCCTCCCCACAACCCCACTTTTCGGAATACACTATGTATGTTATTATTGTTGATGTATTTATTTCATACTAGCTTTGTAGACTCTAAATCTTAGAAGCTCATAATTTGTACTACGAGTCCTTCGGAAGTTTTATAGAAGCTCAATTGCTTCATCATTATTTTTTTAGTAAATCTCAATTGAATTGTTTTATTGTTAATTGGCTTACCTAGCGGGTTGGGTTAGGTGCCATCACGACTAATTGGATTTTGGGTCATGACAGTAATCCTCCAGAGGAAAATCTGTTGGTGGTCATGGTCCGAAAATTATGACATGTTGACTAGAGTTGGCTTTTTGGGTCAACCTTTGACCGCGAGTTTGACTTGTGTTAAAAATTAATAAAACATTCACCTAAGGATTTTTTACCATTCTAAACCTATTTTTATGTAGTTTGAAGTGATACGCAAACCTGAGAGCGTAGTTTTAATTTATCGAACATGGTGCTTGGATTGTAAATTTGATGTAAGTGAGACTTTAAGCTTTAATGCTTGGTTTTTAAAATGTATTTGTCTGACTGGTCCATGTGTTTGGACGAGCGTATGCTTGGCAGAATCGTTGGTCATTGAACCAGCAGCATATATATTATTTTGTTAAGAGTATAAACTTAATACATTATTTGTGGTGTGGCATTGCTTCATGCCATGGCGTTAGGGCGTTAGATATAATATTTTTGTTGCCGTAATATATATCAAGATTAAGCCTAGTTCGAGCTTAAGAGAATAATTGGCGAGACCTCCCGTTGAAAAGGTAAAAGATAATTTTATTATGTTTAGGCCTAAAGAGCCAAAAGTGATTTCAATGGCTTAATGAAGTTGAAATGAGTTTGCATAATTTTTATTAGAATCTGGGTTGATATAAATATTTAAAAGCTTGTATCATGATTTACATTTTTCTAGTTTTTTCATTTAAAATGATAAAGAGCATGAATTGATATAATTGTTATCATTTTATATCAAATGTTGGTTGCATTATTTTTATAAATCCTTGTCCCAGGAATTTGAATTAGAGAGAGTCTATGACACTTATTGAGTATCATCGTGGTGCATTCCGCCCTCAGCGGCCCCTCCCCGGGGTCCCGCTTACTTTACATATTTTAGGATGAGGAGTGGTATGTGATGAGAGATGAGTCTAGGATGACTCTCTTTCCGAGGTGTATGGTTAGGCACCACTTCTATATATTCTGTGGTAGCATTCATGTTGATCTTTCTCTCTGTTAGTTGGGGTTGGTCCAAGTGTTTATTTTATTCTCATGTCTTAGAAATTCCATAGACTATTAGTATTCTTTTGGGGTTGTAATTGATAGTTATTCATATAGCATGAAATGAAAGAGAAATTATTATCCTTATGTGTATTGAATTATTGAAAATGATGTATTTAAAGATTACACTTCATGTATGATTTTAATCATTTGAAATGACTATATTTTCAAAAAGACATTCGCATACATCTATTAGGCATATAGGTGGATATTCTAGTATGGATTGATTCACCCGGGTTGGGTAATGTGCCGAGTTCCATTCACGTGGTTTTGGATCGTGATAGATAGGTATTTTTAGTTCTAAAATGTAGTGAGCCACATAGGGCATACAACATGTGAAAACATTCCCATGCGAGGCACGACCTTTCCATTCCCCGTAATATATATATATATGTGTGTGTGTGTGTGTGTGTTGTGTGTGTGTGTGTGTGAGTGTGTGAGAGAGAGAGAGACCTCAATGGAACCTTTGTGAGGCACATCCTTTTCATATTCCCCGTATATCATAGGTACATCAAAGCAAATAGTAAAGTTCTTATTAAATAATTTATGAAATCGTTAAGCAAGACTACATAGCCGTTCAGACTTATAGAGGAACTAACTAATACATATAACATGAACGTCTCGAATTAAGGGACCTAACATCTCGACTTAAGGGTGAGGGGTCTATTCGCCTGTTTGGCCAAGCTTCTTTTGAGGCAAAAGCACTTTTTTATCAAAAGTGCTTTTTTTCTAAAATTAAAGTGTTTGGCCAAGCTTTTGAAAAGAAAAAAAAGTGCTTTTGAGAAGAAGCAGAAGCAGTTTTGGAGAAGCAGAAAAAAATAGCTTCTCTCCAAAAGCACTTTTCTGAAAAGCACTTTTGAGAAAAATACACTTAGAAGCAGTTTTTTAAAGCTTGGCCAAACACTAATTGCTGCTCAAAAGTGCTTTTCAAATTAATTAGCCAAACACAAACTGCTTCTCACCAAAAGTACTTTTGAGAAAAGCACTTTTGAGAAAAAGCACTTCTCAAAATAAACTGATTTTTGCAGCTTGGCCAAACGGGCAATATAACCTCATATGAAGGTCCAACATGATAAGAGTGATACCAATGAGGGGAACCTTTGAATGTTAGGTATACAATAAGAAGGTCCACCATCTCGTGAGTCTTATTGCCCGTTTGGATTGGCTTGTTTTAAGTGCTTTTAAGCCAAAATCGCTCTTAAGCCTAACTTATGGCTTAAAAGCTATTTTGGCTTAAAAGTCACTTATAACAAGCCCATCCAAACGGGATCTTATTCGACAGAATACTAACATCTCTCTTACAACCTCTTCTACAAAGATAGCAAAGGATTCCATACCTTGATTAAGGGAGAAAAAAGTCCCCTTTCCCCGGGCTTACAAGAACCGAGCAAATCTCTGCAACCACGGTAGGATGAAGATGAGATGTTATGATCTTTAGAGAAGAGAAAAGTTGGAGGAATATTACTTCCTTTATCTTGGACGTTTTGAAAGAAAGGATGAAATATAGAGAGGATTTGCTCCAGATTTAGCCAAGAAAATATGCCCAACTGTATTCCCAAATCAGATGTTTTACTAGCCTACACCACAAGAGAACATCACTTCTTAGAGATCTTGATGATGGAGAAGAATACCAAGGCTCTTACTTGTTTGCACACATGAGAACTTCACTTCCTAGAGATCTTGATGATGGAGAGGGATATTAGGGTTGCTAGGTCGAAATACTATTAGGAAAGATGAAAAATAAGGAGCTAAAAGATCGGGTTTTGTGGTTTTATACAAGGTCACCCTAGAAGGTGCCATATATCCACTGCTAGCACTTGGAAACTGCTGACAGGTCCATAGTAAAACGCGCATAACTTTTTTCCCCCAAGCAGGATTAACGATCGGTTTGCGATGTTGAAAACTAGAGTCGAACACTTATAATTTGATAGATAGATCAACCCATAATACCTTACATACATCAGTATGTTTATCTGAAGTAGTACCTTATATGAGTTTAATTCACCAACTTAATTTCGATGAAACTTTTTATCGACTTTTGATGACACATATCTTGAGTATAGCTCAATTTTCTCAGGACTCGGGTCTACTTACATTTGTCGAACAATTCAAATCTTAATTCAAAAGTAAGGGTGTCTAACACCGCCACATAATTTAGGACAGAGGGAGCATTACTTCGCAACACCCTTGAGGCTACCAAAAAGCAGAAGAAAAAAAGGGGGGGGGGGGAGGGAAGGGGGGGGAGAGGTTCTGAAAAGAAGAAAATCTTTTGTGTGGATAATAAGCTACTTCCAAAACTAATATATCAAACTAATGCCAGAACTGCTAATCCTTTGCATCAGGTAACTGTATCATATTAGCTGGTCAGAGTGTTAGAAAATTTGATGATTCTATTCTGCATTGCCTTGAAATTCTACAAGAAAAAAATATTAATCTGACTCCTGTTGAGGCAAAGGATAGGTTTCATTATCCCATTGTTGAAGGTTGATAGAGTTGCTGCTGCGTGAGTCTGCAGTTGTTCCTTTATTTTGCTGCAAATATAGAAGCACAAACAATTGTTGTAAGATTCTGAACAACTAGAATAGGAACTTATAAACGCATCCTAATTTTGGCTGTTTGATTTTGCTTTGTTACCAATTGAATATAAACTCCAAGAATTCTTTTCCATTGATGGTATCAAAAAGTAGTCTCCCAAGACTTCTCTAAAGCTTCTCGTTTAATAAATCAAATTGCGACTAAGTTTTCAATCTGTATAGATGGTCTCTGCAGAATAAGTTTTATTTATTTTTTGGTATATCTTGTGATCACGAGAATTACATGGTAGAAGACTTATTCAGCCGAACTAAATTTACCATAATAATTGCTCCTGTCACAGTTTTTCAAACACAAGATTTAATGTGATGGCATACCTTATTTTTGCAGGACTTTATGATTAAAGCTAACAACTCATCTCCTGCTAATTTTCTAGCTTGTTGTATCAACTCGCTCCTTGTGATCTTCCTCTCCTAAAAAAAATACTGGATTTCATCAAATGGGATAAAAATAGGGGAAGTAGAAAAATAAGTCACATCCAAAAAAGATAGTCGAGATTTAATAAATAACAAGCACTTACCTTATAATCACTATGATATTTCTTAATCAGTTTGACGTTGTTAGGCGACAAAGTTTTTGATAGTGCAGATATCAAAGCATGAAAAGAAATCCACGCTGAACTTGGACTTTTTAAAGGAACTGAAAACATTCTACTCTCTGTAAAGTAAAGGATGAGCAAAATTTATTAATACTACAAAACAATCATCCAAAATCAAAGCATCTTTAATTTTCTTTAGTCTTAAAGCGTACCTTTGATCTTCGAAATTATTCTGAAACTGATCATAAAGTCGGGGAAAATATAAGCATTCATGTTGCTACTCCACACAATATATTTTCTTGGAGAATGTAAATTGTCAACCCTTGTGTCAAACTGCTCAGAAGTTGGATGAGATTGTCCTAAACCAGGATGAACAACTTCTGATCTTCCTAGTATCACACGACTAAGCAATAGATGCCTTAGCCCATCCTTATTAGGAATAGCTGTTTGAAGACTGAGAGGCATGAGAAAGTTAGAAATTAGTCAAAAGAATATAATTGTAAAAGTTCAAAGAGATCTAAACAAACAAAATAGATGCTTTCTATCTAATCATTTAAATTTTAGACGAGGTGATCACCCAATTTAATACGATATCAGAGCAAACAAAGTTCTTACAGTATGTATAAAGTAAGCATATGCACCTGAATAAACTTTTAGATGAGACGGCTACACATTTCAACTAATACAAGATCGTAAAAAGATGAGCATACATACCAATCAAGAGGATAATCATAAGGAGAGAGGCAAATGCAGTGACCATAAGCTCCATTCTTCATAGAATTCCCAAAACCATGAGAAAATATGTTGTCAATATCATCCTTGGAGGCTCCTAACCAACATACTTCACATTAGCATTCCCCCCACATTTTTTCTCCATTGCTTTGGAAAATATAAGGAATGACTGAAGCTTAGTTTGCATTGTGAAGCTAGAATAAGCATTCTTGTGAATGGCCTCAATTTGTGTAGATAATCCGAGTATACCCAAGCCTGAAATATACTTTCTATTGACAATCTGATGCATCTTATCACCTTCATCAATCCTTATCAAATCATCTGATTGTGTGTTCTCTTGATAATTGGAGCCAAAAATACCGCTCTCAGAGTCAGAAACTGCAGATTGTTGAATGTCATATTTATGATCGGAGTCTGAGTTTGTGCTTTCCATCAAATGGTGCTCGGAGTTGTGCTCTGTTTTTGCTTTTCCCATATTGGAAGGAGCATAAATCTTGTAACTATTGGGATATGCTTCTTGAATTGCTTCTACTGGAAAAAGAGACAACAATTGAGGCTGATGCCGCAAAATGTTGTTCATGGAAGATGCAAATAATTCGAACAGTATATACGAAAGGAAACTCTAGCTGAAGAAAAGCACAAAATTGCTTAATTTCAGATAAAAGAGAGAGAGAAAAGCTGAGGAAGAATTAATATGTATGCTCTGGAATGCAATTCTGAGTCAACATAATTGAACCAATTGTAGGCAAGAATTGAATATTCACAGCAAACATAACAGAGGGATTCAGTACTTGTTCATTGATTTAAAGTGGAGGAAGAAAAGACAAATAGCAGGTGGAAACAAGATGAAGACTCATAATAAGAGAAGTTTGGTGTCAAAACAAATACTTGAAGAAACTATATGGGTTTCAGAAGAATCATAATAAGGAAACATTGGAGGAAAAGATAAAGACGTACTTCAAGTGTCTTTGAAAGGAAAGAAGCAACAATACCAAATGCGTGGAGTCAAAGGTCTTAGCAGAAAATGGAAACTTACATATATTTGGGTACGTAGACCGTAGTGGCAGATCAAAAAAAAGAAGTGGGATTAGGTTGATAATTACTTGGGAAAGAAGAATGAAAACAAGAATGATGAAATTAAAGAAGAGAAGCCAACGACATGGACACCGCCATACGTTTACAGGATGTGGGCGGTGATGGTCTCAACTTGTTTTTTTTTAAAACATTTTAGAAGGTGGGAGCACTCTGTTTTCTTAAGCCTACATTTTTATATTTCTTGCTTGAGAAGGCGGGCGGTCAATGGTTCGATCCAGTAGGGGCAAACGGGCGGGTTGAGCCGGATATGGTTCGGATAAAAAACGGGTACTGAAAAACTGATGTAGGGCTATAACTGGATAGTTTCGTACACTATTTGCCTTGCATTTTACATGCTTTAATGATAAATTACACTTTATTTGCGCGTAATGGAGTCTATTTTATGTGTAGGTGAATTAGAGATGAAAGTAGAATAAAAGGGATACTTAAACGTTGAAAGTGTGCTCGAGAACAATGAAAAGGAGAAAGCTGGCGACACCAGGCTTGAACCAGGAGTTAACCTGGTGAGGCCAGACCAAGGCCAGGCTAAAGCAGGCGTTAACCTAGCGAGGCCAAGCAAAGGCCAGGCTGAAGCTGGCGTTAGGCTGGCGCTGCAAGGCAGAGGCCAAGCAGAACCAGGCGTTAGCCTGGCGACGCCAGGCCTGGGGCCAGGTCCATTCCGAGTTTTCAAGCTTTATTTTATCTCCTGGTTTGACTGGGACTTGACCTACACGTTTAGGTCTTTTCCTACACATATAAATAGACCTAAAATCGCCAATTTGGAGGGAGTTTTGGCGACCAGAGGCAAAGACATCACGTGGACAACTTTTGGAGGAGAAAATCATAGAGTTCTTCCTCCCTTTTTCCTTTCTTTGTAATTTGTTTATGCAAAAGACTTGGCAAATTGTTATTATGAACATGAGTGGCTAAGCACTCTATGTTCTAGGGTTGTGGTTGACATGATTATTAACGTTTATTGACTACATCTTCGTTTATTCGGATTATCATCTTGTGGTTGTTTCTCTAATTCTATGCATAATTGCTTAATTATCTTGCCAGCAGTTCTATTTACTATCTATGATATGTTTGGGAAAGCCGTGTTTAGATTAGAGTTGAATTAGAGAGAGCTTGTTTCTAAACCCGTGGCTCGGGGGAAGATCTCGCTGTTAGGATAGGAATATAACTAACAGGCTTGCTTAATTGAATATCGTATTATATTCGTTCATGATAGACTCAATACCATAGGAACATAGTGTTGATATATTATGGGCAGGCGAGTAGAATTATTCTGGGAACATGCCATTCATATAAAAGACCTGGTTCATTAGCAACCATAGATTATCTGGATTAACGAGCGTGATTATTAAACTTAATAGGATTGATAAACCAACCACAACCCTGGAATTTCCATTTTCTTTGAAGTAAAATCTCATCATACAAAATTGCATCCTTGATAATTTAGTGTTATTTGTTTAATTTCCGCAATAGTAGATTAATAGAAAAATATCGCTCTTAAATATCTTGGACAAGTAATTGAATTTAGTTCGCTTAGTTAACGATCAGTCTAAGTCTCTGTGGGTTCGACATCCGACTTTTGAGTCACTTTATTACTTGACGACCACGTATACTTGCGTGTGTGTTTGGTCTCAACAAGTTTTTGGCGCCATTGCTGGGGACTTAGTTATTGATTGTTTAGTTAAGTTAAGCTTTCATTCGTTATTTGTTCATGTTTTAATTTTCAGTTTGCCTTGTTTGTGTTAACACAGGCTCTTCTCTTGGATGCGGAGGAGTAGAAGCGCAAACAATCTCCTTCCTATTGATCCTGAAATCGAACGAACACTTCATAGAGTGAGGAGGGAAGTCGAAGCTAGAATTAGAATTGAAAGAGAGTTGGACATCTTAGTTCAACCACAGCCAGTAGACATGGCAGGTAATGAAGAGTGTCCGGCGATAGAAGCTACAAGGCCCAAATTAGCTCTTATGACTCAGGCGATTGTGAAGCCTGACATCACGGGTCACTTTGAACTCAAACAGTACATGGTACAGCTGATTCAATCCACAGGGCAATATGTTGGCTTATCTCATGAAGACCAGCAAAGGCACATTCAGAACTTCTTTGAAATTACAGACACTTACAATTATCCGAACGTTTCTAAGAACTATGTGCTGATACCCAATTTTTCCTATATGTTTTCAATATGCAAACTACATTCAAAATAGCATATGTATGCATATGTAAGCATGTCCAATTGTTTATTAATCGGAAAAGGGTCAAATATGCCCCTATACTATTGAAAAAGGTTTAATATTGCTCTCCGTTATACTATCAGTTCAAATATATCCCTAACGTCATACTATCGGTCCAAATATATCCCTGAATCATTAAAGTGGCACAAACCTACCCTTCCTCCGTTAACTACCTCCCTATGACAACACTTCATTGCCACCTCACCATTACACTCCCATTTTCATCCCTTCCCCACAACCTTTCTTTCCCGTTCATTTGAAGAAAAAAACAGATCATACATATAGAAACAAACTATATCAAAAGAAATGCTAACTAAAGATAATATGAAACAATGTGAACCGAGAAAATTTTGATTTTGCTATTCAAAATCCATGCTTATACGAACGAAAATACATTTTGTTTTATATAAAAAACTAAGCAAAGATACATGCAAACTAGTTTAAGGTTTCAAAATTGACCATGGTGAGAAAGAAAAACATCCTAGACACGAGAGTTAATTTTTTTGTTTCTTTCTCTTCAACCACATTTCTGGAAGGCTGTCATTTTTTCTCTCTTTACGTTTTATGTTAAAATAAAAGTGCTACTAAATTTTTCCTAAATAGGTCTTACAAATTCAGCGGCAACACAAAGAAGTGCAAAATAAAACACAAAATTGTAAGGTCAAGTGAAAGGTACGTACAATTCCAGGATTGGTCGGAGAAGCAGCAGGTATTTTGAAAAGCAAGAGGAAGTATAGGCAGTGAAGTCTTCAAAATAATGATAGAACTTCAAAGTAATTGAACTTGGTAGCTGCAAACAGGGTGAAATGGTGAGGTAGCAATCAAATGTCTTCATAGGGGAGGCAGTTAACGGAGGAAGGGTAGGTTTGTACCACTTTCATAATGTCAGGGATATATTTGAACCGATAATATAACGTTAGGGATGTATTTGGACTGATAGTATAACGGAGGATAATATTAAACCTTTTTCAATAGTATAAGGGCATATTTGACCCTTCTCCGTTTGTTAAATACCAAATTATCGTACCGAAATCGGAAATTTTGATATTTGGTATAAGGTATTTTGGTATTTGGTTTAAGTTTTTCAAAAAAATGGTATTAGGTATGATATTTGGTATTTTAAAATAAAAAACCGAAATATCGATACCGTACCGAAATATATATTATATTACACAAAACATATATTATCAATTATATATAAATATAAAAAATCTAAATTTTACTTTTTTTTATTCTCTAAGTTCATCAATTAACTCTAAACAAGTAACAAGACATTTCTAATGATCAAATATTCTTTTATGTACAATTTTCTCTATTTGGATCGATATTTGTTAGTTTTGGACAAAATTTTTGTCAACAAACATTTTCAGTTTTGTATTTTTGATTACTTTAATTAAGAATATTATAGCCTATGGCTCTATGCACTAGTTAGGTATTCAAACCGAATAAACCAAAGTTACCGAACCGAATAAACCGAAACCAAAAGGAGAAAAACCGAACCATACCGAATTTAATTAGGTACGGTATTGGTATAGAATTTTAAGAAATCGAATACCGAAAATACCGAACCAAAATGTCTAAATACCGTACCGTACCAATCGACGAANATCTAAGAACATACTGCGACAAACTGGTCGGAGTGGAAAAGGCGAAAAGGATCCGCATGAAACTATTCATGAGGAGTCTAAAGGGAGATGCACTATCCTGTACATCAGCCAGGACCCTAAGAAGTGGTCAAATTGGGTAGGAATGACATCTGATTTCATGGACAGGTTCAGGTTCAATACAGAGAATGCGCCAGATGTATTCTACATTCAGAATCTGAAGAAGAAGCCTACAGAAACATTTCGCGAGTATGCTACTCGCTGGAGGTCGGAAGCCGCTAAGGTCAGACCTGCCTTGGAGGAGGAATAGATGAACAATTTCTTTGTCCGGGCTTAGGACCCGCAGTATTATGAACGGCTAATGTTGATTGAAAATCACAAGTTTTCCGACATCATCAAGATGGAAGAGCGAATTGAAGAAGGTATTAAAAGCGGCATGGTTACAAACTTCGAGGCCTTGCAAGCCACAAATAAGGCCTTGCAGTCTGGTGGTGTGTCTAAGAAGCGAGACGTAGGGGCCGTAATGGT